CCAACCACCGCACTATCAAGGGTGCCGTGCTCCTCAGGAGACCCAACCACCGCACCATCAAGGGTGCCGTGCTCCTCAGGAGACCCAACCACCGCACCATCAAGGGTGTCGTGCTCCTCAGGAGACCCAACCACCGCACTATCAAGGGTGCCGTGCTCCTCAGGAGACCCTCCACGAGGATGATGTCTTGATCGACTGCAAGTGCGATGTGCTTGTGGACGAACACGCGTGCCAGCTATAGCGGCGCCACGTATATGTGTTGGTCCTCGGAGACGGTCCGAGACGGTCCGTCACATACCGCGCTGACCGCCGTATGATCCGCCATGGGACTCCGACTGGAGCTGCTCGAGACGGTCCGTCACATACCGCGCTGACCGCCGTATGATCCGCCATGGGACTCCGGCTGGAGTTGCTCGAGACGGTCCGTCACATCCGCGCTGACCGCCGTATGATCCGCCATGGGACTCCGACTGGAGCTGCTCGGGACGAAGCGTCGGCTCGTCTCCACAACAGGCGGCAGCTGGCCGGCGTCACGTGACCGCCGACTCCCACAGTCTGCCACCACTTCCGCGGTCATGTGACGGCTGGCAGCGGCCGCCGCGGCAGGTCGACGGCTCTGTGAGCGGGCAATAACTCATCCTCCCCTGCAGGCGCAGGCTGTACATCCTGAAGAAGCGTATAGGCAGATCGTAGCGGGCCAGGTCTGTCGTTAGCGGAACGGCCAACGACGTAAACGTGTGACGCTTTTGTTCCTATTGACGTAGCGCTCAGTTCATCCTCCTGAATTTCGTCTGGTGTTTGTTTGGTCGGGCCCGAGAGACGAGACTAAAAAGAGCTTTTCAAAGCGTTTTCGGCTGTACTTTCTGAGACGTTTGAACGAGTGTCATTGAATGTTGTTGCTATGCGCTTGGCTATGGCTGATATGAATAGTTGCTGAGCGTGGAACAATTTTTGTCTGTGTGGGCAAGGAATAACTCGATTGCCCCGGATCTGCCCAAAAGTTAACCAAATGTTTTGAAGGAATGACCTTAGAAGCTCGACTCCCACTAAGCATAGTTCGTAGCGGATGCTCGCAACCCCTGGTTCAGCGCAGCAGTTCTGTTCAACGGACTATTTTCATAACAAATTATCTTCCCAAACCCTAGAGTATCACATGGCTTCTTAAAACGAAACTAACCCGAAGCTTTTTCATGGACAGACCCCTGGGATTGGAGCTCACGCTAAGCAGCTCTTGTTGTGTGAGCCATGACCCCAGCCATCCAATCACGCAATTCCATGGCAACGGCAGAATTTGCTGGCAAAGGTTTAACGTGCCGTAATGGTCGGCACGGTCCGTCCTGCCCTCTGATGTCACGTAAACTTCCGCGCGGGAGCTGCCACCGGCCGCACGCCACGCCTGTCAAGGACAAATAGCGAGCGCCTAAACCGACCGGAACCCACCCCGCCACGGGTGGGTGGGTCGGAAGGCAGATGCTCTAACCAATTATCCCTCGGCATAATTCCAGGTCGGCCAGTTTTAGTCTTACCTGGATCTCCTTCCATATTCCTACCCGAACCTTGGCACCTGCCGTATATTTATTAGGGCCAGACTGGATTCTGGTTCGGTGGTTGCCTTAAGTGTAATTATTTGCTGGATCGTGATTCCTGTTGGGTTTCCTCCTTGATTCCAGCCTGATTCCTGCTATATTCGATTCTAGAACCAGGATTCAAAGACTGTCTCCCGGGAAGAAACTTTTGGAACCAGGCACATACGCACTCCAAAGCTTTACAAGCTCGTTCCATTGTTTCCGAATCCTGAAGCAATTGCACCAATAAGTGTACATAAAACCACTCATGGGACACTCCAACAGTCATATGTGGTATATCGTAGAAAACTAGAAGGACAGCAGAGAGCTCCGCTTGCAGATACCGTTCATCAGAGTGCCTACGGATGATCATGCCAGGTCTGGGGCGATGGAGTCGAGCCAGGTTAGCTGAGGTCACATGCTGTTGGATGGTGTCAGATCCGAGCGGGCCAAGTGAGTCATGATCAAATCACCATCCTGCGTGGCAGAATGAAATACTCCGGGGCGGTGATCAAGTCAGCGTTGCACTTTCCATTAGGCCAGCGATTTCCGGGCTTCATGACTCATTATACCCTGAGAGGGAAACAATATTGGTGAAGACGTTAATATATTTTCGAGATCATTGCATCGTTGTCTACCTCGAATACATGGCTTACGAGCCAGTGTGGTGTCACGCAAGGGATACGCACGCGGCTGGTTCTAGGCCTTTTAACACGTTGTCCTGCTTAGCCATATCCAAAATAACGACGACGAATAAAAAAATCAAAAATCCCCTAGTTGGCTGTGCCAGGCGCTAAAATGCGGAGCAATGCATCCCGACGGCGGTGCCATCTATGTTGCCGGTAGTTCACAACTTCCCCACTGGATGAGCTCCGGCCGTTCGTCCGCGCATGCGCAACTCAGAATCCAGCGGGGCAGTCACAGCAGTCGAACACAACATGATTTGACGCCTCCTCCAGGCGTCGTCGCACCGGCTCGCCTTCCGCAGTCTCTGTGTCGCATCTACTTGATCTCCACCAGCTCGACGTCGAAGAGTAGCGTGGCGCCGGGTGGTATGACGTTGCCTGCGCCACGATCGCCGTACGCCAGCCGCGGCGGGATGGTCAGCTGGCGCCGCGCGCCCGGACACATGTTGAGCAGACCGCGGTCCCAGCCGGCAATCACCTGACCTCTGCCGAGCGTGAACTCGAGCGGCGTGCCGCGGTCCCGGCTCGAGTCAAACTTGGTGCCATCCGTCAGCGTGCCTGCCGGCCGGCGCGCGTCAGGTCAGGTCACGTCAGTTTCGGGTCGGGTCGGATCAGGTCAGGCTGGGCTGAGTTGGGCTAGTCTAGCCTTAATTAGGCTAGGATAGCTAAGGTTAGCTCAAGCCACGTCGATTCAGGTTAGGGCATGCAGTTCAGCTGAGGTGAGATGAGATTAGGACGGGGATCTGAGGTCAAATGAGGTCAAGGAGGTGGAATTATGCCGGATGATCTGCAGCGATTTCAATTCGGCAATGATCAAAATGCCTATCCAACTTACCGAACGATGCAGAGTGCGTAGCAGGAGAACATAATTGGAATTGTATATTCATAACACAAAAGCCAAACATTTTTGGAATGCTCATTTCAGTGCTAATTCTGGTGTCACTTACAATCCAAAATCGGCAGCCCGGGTAACTACGTTAAAATTTGTGTCGTACGCAGTAAACAAGTAGGAGCCTAACACAGGCTATTTTGTAACCAAAATGATGTGACATGTGGAAAGCAGCCAGCGTCTCAGAAGCCTCTAGCAGCGTGGCCTGGTGCAGCTGTCTGCTGGCCTGACCTGTGTAGTGCATAGGAGACGACGTCGCCGGCGGTGGTCTTCCTGCGGCAGTTGCGCGGCCCAGACACGCGCCGAATCTGCAGTTTGTCGCTCGCAGCCCTGCTGACGAGGCGCGCCACTCATTACCTGGCCAGCGCGCGGCGCGACCCTCGGCTCACGCTTGCCCTGCCAGCCCTCGGCCCTGGCCAGCAGCATGCAGGCAGGTCACATAGCCACACACATCACTACAGTAGCGTTTGATATGAGAAACAGTTGGTCTCAAGTTTCGATGATCTGTGCGACGAACTGGGTTGCTCTGAAATTGATTGCTGATGTGGGCGCGCTGGTAACTTAACACGATGCCCGCCCCACGTTCTGTGCGTCTGCGCATGCAATCCCTGCGCGTTAGATGCCGCACATCGATATTCTCAACCGCATCCAAGACAGACCCACAATATTCACAGTTGGTAATGCCAGCCCACTGTGCTGGTGCTGGAGCAGGGGCGGGGGCGGGGGTGGGCGTAGCGGCGGGGGCGGCGCCCTGTCCGTTGATGGTGACCAGCTCCACGTCGAAGTTGAGTGTGGCTCCAGGCGGGATGACGCCGCCCGCCCCCTTCTCCCCGTAGGCCAGCCCGGGCGGGATGGTCAGCTGGCGTTTCTCGCCGGCACACATTCCTGTCAGGCCCAGGTCCCCAGCCGTGATCACCTGCCGGTCAGACACACGGTCACAGTCAATCGCAATACAGCCCCATCGATGGCGTTGTTCACGAACCATCTCTCTGATAAAGGAAGGGGCATGCGCCCACTCAGCCTTCTTAGGGTAATTCTCCGGCATGCCGTGCAATCGCGCTCGAATATTAAGCAGTCCATGGGGCATTCACTGCACGTGTTTTGACGCCAACACCGCGTCTCTGTCATTTCTGATTTTGGAGCAGCGGCCGTTTTTCGGGAACACTGCACTGGATGGCTCATCAAAACATTAAAAAAAACAACAACGAGTGGTCACACACCCTGCCGAGTGTTTGACTATCTGTCGGAGGGTACAGCCGCCTCCGACCGGTCGGGAAGCCACAGGAGAGGTATGCTCTGTGGGGCTCAACGACGACATCGACGGTCCAAGATGCTGATGTCCGAAAGCCATGCGGCTCATCTAAGTGATGGCCTACCAGCCAGATATATGGTCTTTCAAAGAACAATTGCAAACGAAAATGCATTTGCGAGTAAGGTGGCTATAGCCATCTCATTACAGGACAACATGTCCAGAAATGGGCCAGTTCCGTGGCAGATTAGCAAGTCCAGTCGCGGCACGCCAGTTTGGTGTACGCAATAATCGATGTATGCAGTGCCGGTGCATGCAATTTCAGTCATTTTCAGTTTTGGTGCATGCAATTTTGATGTATGCAGTTTCGGTGCATTCGGCGTATGCAACGATAACTCAAGTTGAATCCCACCCCTGCCGCTGCGCCCACTCCTCCAGTGGACTGGGCGTAGAGGTGTAAGGACGTGAAGGGGCTACGTACCGTACTCATTCCTCCTACACCCCTCTACTCATAGAAGCTAGTGACGTCGCAGCGCTCGTCTGATGTCACATCGCCCGTCTGACGTCACAGCGCCCATCTGACGTCACAGCGCCCGTCTGGCGTTACTGACCTGGCGGGCGCCCAGCGTGAACTCGAACACCTGATTGCGGTCCCGACTAGAGTCAAACTTAGTGCCGTCCGTCAGGGTGCCCGTGTAGTGCATGCCCAGCTTGTCACCGTTCTTCGACTTGACTGGGCAGCTCTCCGGCGAAAAAACACGGCGAATCTGGCGACAGCCGCCATATACATTATACACGTCACACAAGCCTCAAATACATTATGCACGTCACACAGACGCTATACACGTTACGCGCATTGTGCAGGCATTATGCACGGTATCTTGCTCCGTTATACACGTAAACGTGGCCACCATTTCTAAGATAAGGCCGAGCTGAGGTCGGACCCCATCAATCGCCTGGATGTACATAGCAATGCCTGTTGAGGCGCGGACAAAACGTCGTCAGATAACAAGGTCCGTGTTCCCACCCAGTACAGCTGATCTGACGCCGAATGCCAACGGTGAAACACGACTTCCTAGCCTCGGTTCGTGTGGATGCGCGGCGTTTCATTCTCCTTGTGCCGTCTGGCTTTAAAAAGGGTTGTTTACGATTGACCTATGTGCTGAGCGACCAGGCAGGTTTTACTTTGGTGTTTTGCTTCTGTGATTGGCTGGAGTCTCCGTGCTCGAGGCCTCATCGGCTAGACCGAAAACCCTCCTGCCGATCCGATCGCTTTCAGCATTGCCGTAATGACTGCGTGGCATCCAGCATGCTCGGCGTTCTCACCTTCAGCTCGGGCTTGGCCTGGGGGTTGATCTCCAACAGCTCCACGTCAAACAGAAGGGTGGCCCCGGGTGGGATGACGCCTCCGGCACCGCGATCTCCGTACCTGTGACACAGTGTGACGTCACGGAAGGGTGGCCTCGGGTGGGATGACGCCTCCGGCACCGCGATCTCCGTACCTGTGACACAGTGTGACGTCACAGAAGGGTGGCCTCGAGTGGGATGACGCCTCCGGCACCGCGATCTCCGTACCTGTGACACAGTGTGACGTCACAGAAGAGTGGCCCCGGGTGGGATGACGCCTCCGGCACCGCGATCTCCGTACCTGTGACACAGTGTGACGTCACAGAATGGTGGCCCCGGGTGGGGTGACGCCTCCGGCGCCGCGATCTCCGTACCTGTGACACAGTGTGACGTCACAGAAGGGTGTCCCCGGGTGGGGTGACGCCTCCGGCGCCGCGATCTCCGTACCTGTGACACCGTGTGACGTCACAGAAGGGTGTCCCCGGAAGGGATGACGCTCCCGACACTACGATCTCCGTACCTGCGACGCAGTTAGCACCACGGCTCGGCCTACTGCCGTGACGCATTTAATTTTTTCATTGAACGTGGTTTTATATTTGTTCCTTTGCCTCGGTCACTAAAGACTTTACTTTGCCATGTCTTTGGATCTCTACCGTTTCCGATTCTCTCCAGCAGTGTCATGCCCACAATCACACGAGACGTTGCTGGGCGAAGCGTGATTAGGAAACCGACCGGTTTTAGTCCTGGCATCTTTGGTCAGCTTACGGAAACCAGTTTTCTCCGTGGCTTCAGTAAAATGGAGTCCCGTCAGGGACAGCAGATGTAAATTCATAAGAAAAATGGCATGTGGCATGAGCCTCTTGATGCCTGCCATTTATATATATATATATATATATATATATATATATATATATATATATAATTGCTGAGCCAAACGTTTTCTATGCATATATGCAAACGTCAGACCCAATCTGTGCTTACTTCTCAACCATTCCGCTGTCAGCTCCGAGCCATCCCATAATCGCCGGTACCCACCGCCTGCTCCACTTCCCCGGACACTTCAGTGCACCGTTAGACTCCCCATCACTCTACTCCTCCCTCACTAACTCCCCAAACCCTTCACAGTTTTACACCGGCCTCCAGCAGACACACCACTACGCGCCATCTCCGCTTCCTGACTGCGCTAGCCAACCCCAGCCCCTCACCATTCCGCACCAGCCACCGGCCCGGTCACCAAAGCACGAAAACAAGCCGATGTTGACAAAATGTACAGAGATCCGGACCACTCTGAACCCAGTGCTAATTACAGACGTGCACATAACACCAGACCCCGGCACCAGCACCAGACCCAGGCACCATATAGAACCAGTGCCCAGCCCCCTCAGCACCGAGAACCAGGGCCAACCTAGGGCCAACTATAGTTAGCACCCATTACCTAACTCCAGCACCAATGCCAGCTCCTGTCACCACCCTGCACCAGCTCTGGTCGTGACCCAGTCCCAGTGTCAGCTCCTGTCACCACCCAGCGCCAGCTCCGATCACCACTCACCCGAGACTCGGTGGAATGGTGAGCTTCCTCTTCTCGCCGACGCACATGCCGACCAGGCCCTGGTCCCAGCCCTTGATCACCTTGCCCGCGCCGAGTTCAAACTCGAACGGCTTGCGGCCGCGGCTCGAGTCGAACTGGGTGCCGTCCTGCAGCGTGCCCGTGTAGTGCATGGCCAGCACATCACCGGGCCGGGAGCGCGCCGCGCACTGCGTCGGCCCCGACACGGTCTGCACGTCCAGCTGCTGGGCGGCGGACAGGGCGCAGAGCAGCAGGAGCGCCGCGGCGCGGCCGGCGGCGGACATGGTGGCGCTGAGAGTGCCGGGGCCGGCTCAGGGGCAGGCTAACCCCGGGTAACGGTGACGCCGTGGCTGAGCGGCCCGTTACCGCCGCGCAGAGGCGGAGCCAGCGCGGCGGGACGGCGGGGCGGAGAGTGTCGCGCTAATGCGCTCCGTCTCCGAGGTCGGGTCATCTCGGCTGATCTGACGGACGCTTCCATGTCGCGCCCCCAGCGGGCTCACAGTTGGCCCGCTGGCTTTTGCGCGCTGTGTCCGCCCCTGCGCCCTGCAGAGGGATTTTGATTGGTGTACGGCTGCGTTGGAACGAGAAACTCGCCTAGTCTGGTTTCTGTCCCTGGTCCTCGCGCGTTCACTACCAGGCCATCTAACAGGCACGGTGTAATGGTCTCGCCAATGGCCTGGTGAAAATGGCTGGTGGCCACAAATTTATCTGTTAGCCTCACATAGGTTGAAAACAATGATGATAGGGCTAGGAAAAGGCAAGAGGATAATTAGTGGCTGTTAAGCTTTTCTTTTTGTTCAATTCACGTGCGCGATACACGTAATCTTAAGCCGCTGATGTTTCACATTTCTCGTCTAATGCGAACATGATGTGGTTGAAGAATTGACATTAATCTCAAAAGGAATTGCATAAGTAACGAGCACTTGTAGCAGAACATCATTTTATTTTCATGTGACTCTGTTGCATTACTCACCAAGGTCGTATATCCGTTTTTGCACCATGCCCCAGTTTTAGAGGTACGCTGCTTTTGCTTTGACTGGAACAGTGTTGCGATGACGCATCGCGTTAATCTCCGGTGAGCACGCTGCCATACCGATATCTTTACGGGTAAAAAGTTGCGAAGATGTGAAGCAATGATCACCTTCACAGTAGATTAGTGCTCCGTTGGCAGAAGATATGGTTGTGCGTCGACAGATGCTAACAGGCAATGCCTTGTTTTCTAAAAAGCATGCTCATGTACGTTTCAAACGAACGTTTCATATTAACACGATATATGCATCAATACATGTGACTAGGGTACGTACAAAGTGGTACGGAGCTTGCTAGCTATTTTAAGAGTGCGCACCATGATGCCCTGACTGCAGACATTCACGGCATGTCTTCACAAGTAACGTGCTCATTACGTCGGTGGTCGAGAACGGACTTCCTCTTTCGTCACATCTTGCTTGGTGCAGCTTATCTGCGCACAATCTCTGATGTAACAAGGAAGTCATAAGAGTCGCCACCTTGCCGAGCCAGTTTTTGCAGGGGCTGCAAAAGAGCAGGTCTTCCTCTCTCGGGTCTCACACCATGGCACACAGCTCGTACAGTGTCCGTGACGGAGTCGCGGTGCTGCTGCCGGCGCCGGGCTGCTCTAGCCGCTCATCAGGACCTGGGGTGGGAGCGTTTCACTTTCGTTAGCGTGTGCAGGATGACCTCCTCACTGGCAGCCTCTCACTGACCCAGACCGCGGGCAGGAGGCGGTGCTCACGACGCAGTGGGCTGCTCGTAAGTCGGCCCTCCGTGCTGTTGCAACAGCGAGAACAGGCAACACCAGACACGCACCGCGCCACGCGGGTGTCAGACACGTGGCGTGCGGCACAGCCGACACAACAGAAGAAGCTTTTTGGGCTGGAGAAAGAAGCTCTTTCTCCACTGCATGTCGACTCGTGCCTCGTAAAGCGAGGCCCAGCCTAAGGCGTGCACCGGAGCTTTGCCTCCTCACACTAGATGGGCATTATCTCGGGTGGTCTCACACTAGGTGGGCATTGTCTCGAGTGTATTTGTAATTGAGTGATCACGCAACAAGCGAGGTATTGTTTGAAAATGGTACAACTATGCAAATCTACAAAACAAAAGATCACAGCGATAAACACAGGAGAGTACCTGGGCAGTAAGAACCCATATACACCTAGGGCCTCGTACTATATATGTACGCAAAGTAGATTCTGTACTTTTGTTACATGCATCTATGCATTAATCTTAGTGGCTACTTGAAGGGTAAATGACATTGAAAGAAACACAGCAGTTTTAAAGTCAAAAGTGCTCTGGTTTGGGCGAAGCTGAACCTAATCTTCAACGAGGGTTTCTAGTCCAGGGATGCGGGTGTGATGCCCTGTACGCTGAGAAGTCTGAGCAGCACTCGCTAGTTTTGCTGACGGCGCGGTTCAATGCTCAGTAAGCCCTCTCTGGCTCGGCTATTCACCGACCTACTTGCCTTTGCCATTGTAACTCTTTGTTCAAATGTTCACGTATGCAAGTACATTAAGCAGGGAGATATGAGCTTACGAAGTGCTAAGCGCTCAATTGATAGCAAATTTGGAGTGAATGCCCTTTTAAAACACATTTTTGATCACCGGACCAAAGCAAACACCGAGGAGTTATAACATCTTTGTGCCACTACAGGTACGGGTGGTTGCGGTATGCTTTGCTCACCGGTTACGATCCGGCTCCCCAAAATCGATATTTCGATGCTAACGCAGAGTGGGAACACTTTCACAGGGAATCACGGAACGCCTGTGAGCATCCCACGCCGGTTAATGCCGGCTAACGCCGGTTAATGCCGGTAATGCCAGTTAATGCCGGTTAATGCCGGTTAATGCCGGTTAACGCCGGTGAATGTCCATGGGAGGAGTCGCCGAGTCACAGCTCAGCACAGGCCTTACGCAACGCCTCACCCCCACACACAGTCATCCCCAATGGCTGGCAGAGCAGTGGGAGACCGCCAGTCCCACCGGTAGTAGCACCAACGGGTCACTGAGGCCTGCTTGCTCAGTATGCGTTGGTCATGAGTGGGGCTCCAATGGAAATCTGTTACGGCAGAACCCAAACCGAGCCCGAGTCCGCGCGTAGACGCGGAGGGCGCTGGCGCCGTGGGGAGGGGGGGGGGGTATGGGTCGGCAGGGGTCATGTGCTCCTCCCAGGCGCACAGGGCGTGTGACCGGACACCCTTGCGACACAGTCCCAGCGCTGAGAGCCTCGCACGCGCCGGCCGTCCGCCCCGGGCTCGGCGCCCAACAATGGCCTCCAGTCGCACGCCAAACTCGGCTATGTGCCGCACCGAGCCGCGCAGTTACACGAGATGTGCTCGCATGCAATTCACGCACACCAGGCGTCGCCTGCAGATGGCGGCTAGAGGGTCACCGAGGCGGTGTGCCGCGCCAGTGGTGGCTGAGGGCTGGGGGTGCCTACCTGCGCCGGCGAGTGGCTGCAGGCTCTGTATTTGAGCCAGCGAACGGTTAAGACGTGGAAGATCGTGATGCGTGCTGCTAGCGCTTTGTGGAAGTAAAACACGTGCGAAACGGTGAAGGTCGACTTCTAGTGACGTTCGGAGACGTCTGGTGACACCGGGCGCATGCGGTGACATCTGGCGGCATTTGGTAACATTGTGACGTCTGGTGACACCTGATGACCGCTGGTAACATCTGGTACATCTGGTGACATCTGGAGACACCTCGCAGCGGCATGTCTGAGCTGCTGAAGAGGTTGCGTCGCTGGGGCAGCCGTCAGGAGCTGGACGAGCCAGAGCCTGAGTCAGTCCAGGAGCCGACGATGACCTGCTGCCAGCATGATGTCCTCCTGTACCAGGACCAGTCGGCCGAGGTGCTGCCCTCCTACTGCTTCATCCCGCCCGACATCCTACGCGAGTTGTAAGTACCGGCCGCCTGCCGGGCGGCGCAGAAGGCAGAAGGGAGCTTGTTATTCCCAGACTGGTGTTCTTCACCTATGCGATGGTGCAATTCGATACGAATTAGTGGCGCCCCGGTCATTCAGCAACCGCAACCAGAGATCACCCCGGTCATCCGACCGGCGTATGGTTGACAGGACGGTGACGTCGCAGAGGCCACGCTGATGCGACTCGTCAACGTCGGCCGGCTGGTGACCGACGACAAGTGTCGTGCTGACGACATGTCAAGGCGCTACGTGGCAATTGGCGCGCAGACATCCACCAAAATTGGTCCGTTCAGGCGGACTTGCTCGACCGGGGTGTTGGGTGCCGCGGTGTTCTGTCACACTGAGTGGTTCGCAAGCCGCCCCTGCAGAACATTTAGGCAGCAGTGTTTTTGCCAGTTTTGAAATGTCCGAGGCTCGACCGGGAGTAAATTGGTGAAACTGAGCGAAATTGAGATATGGCAAAACCAATAGCTCGGTGATGACCGCAAAAAATGAATTCCCACCGCTTGCACTGCATAGGAAATTTGTAAATATATCATAAAATGAGCTCCATACACATAAATGTATCCTGGACTTATTTGCAATATTTAACTTTCGTTATAGTAAAACCAGCACTATAGCCAGCAAATAATTTGCGGTGATGAACAAAACGAAGAAGATTACTGGGGTTTAGAGGCTGACACCAGTAACGATTACACCCCCTCAAGCCATAGTCGCTCTCCGCAGGGCACGCAGTGCCGGCCGTTGACAGACACGAGCCAAACGCTGTCGCTTTAAATCCACGCTTTGCAAAGTGACTTATGGGGCCTTTAGGCATTCACTTTTGCCTTGCAAATAAAGTTGCGACTTTTAGTTAAGGCTCACGAGGCTCGCGTTTGTCCAAGGAGGGAGCGGAGCACCGAGAATGGAAGCATGTCCTGGACCGCAACAGGCTTTCAGGACTGATGCGGCTCCTCGTCCAGGGGGCGCAGTAAATCTGACCCATCTGCCTCGTTGTGTCCAAGAGGTCCACTCGCTTGTCGTTGCACCATGCGGTTCTCCTGAACAGTAGACACAGCTGACGGATTGTGTCCGCAGAAACCACGCAGCGGCTGTTTCGCCCGCGTATTGTTGCATGACCTCCAATGACCCATCTCGGGCTCACTGGGGAGCAGCAGCAGCACAGACACGTGCCGACGTGCTGATTGTTTCTGATTTCCCGATCTGAGGTTTTCTGAAACCGGACATCTCAGGGCTTGCCAAAGTTAATCCCGAACTTAATGTGTCCACCACTGAGGCCCCATCAGCATCTCGTTCAGTACTGGAAGGATTTGATGGTCATGATTATGCGCTGCTAGTTCAGAATTCT